TAAAAATACAAAAAATTAGCTGGGCATGGTGGCGCGTGCCTGTAATCCCAGCTACTCAGGAGGCTGAGGCAGGAGAATTGCCTGAACCCAGGAGGCGGAGGCTGCTGTGAGCCGAGATTGCACCATTGCACTCCAGCCTGGGTAACGAGCGAAACTCCGACTCAAAAAAAAAATAAAATATAACTGTATCAAGATCATTTGAAATAGTTTGGGCCAGGCATGGTGGCTGTTCCTGTAATACCAGTGTTTTGGGAGACCGAGGCAGGAGGATAGCTTGAGGCCAGCAATTCAAGACCAGGCTGGGCAACTTATTGAGACTCTGTCTCTAAAAAATGTATATATTTTTAAATTCAGCTAGGCCTTGGCACAGTGGCTCACACCTATAATCCCAGCACTTTGGGAGGTCAAAGTGGGAGGATCACTTGAGTCCAGAAGTTCAAAACCAGCCTGGGCAACATAGGGAAACCCTGTCCCTACAAAATGTTTTTAAAATTCCAGGCATGGTGTCATGTGCCTGTGGTCCCAGCATCTTGGGAGGCTGAGGTGGGAGGATTGCTTGAGCCCAGGAAATCAAGGCTCCAATGAGCTATGATCACACCATCATACTTCAGTCTGGGCAACAGAGTAAGACCCCATCTCAAAAAATAAATTCAGCTGGATTTAGTGACAGACATCTGTAGTCCCAGCTGCTTAGGAGGCGGAGGCAGAAGGATCACCTGAGCTCAGGAGTTGAAGGCTGCAGTGAGGTATAATTCCACCACTGCACTCTGGCATGGGCAACACTGAGACCTTGTCTCTAAAAAAAAAAAAAGTTCGTTTTACCTATAATAGGTATTTTAATTCTACCCTTCTGTTGTCATACGCATAAGTTATTTGCGACATAGGGAAATTCCATTGAGTTACAGAAAATATTTAATGTTTCTAATCAATATGTTAGTATTTTGGGATTAAAAATAAGGTGAGATGAGCTACCACATGAAATGAGGAAAACTAATAGACCATAAATTTGTATTATTTTGTTGTCTCAGACTCAATGTTTTCTTTAAAGAGTTCCATTGTGATTTATAGACTGGGCTATATGTATGTTTCTCTTGAATGAAATAATTTATAGAATTGGCACATGTTGTTTTCTTTCCCACTCTAAAGCACATCCAAATCCATAATGGCTGCTGCTGGAGTACCTGTTGTGGAGGGTTATCATGGTGAGGACCAGTCAGACCAGTGCCTGAAGGAGCATGCTGGGAGAATTGGCTATCCTGTCATGATTAAAGCCGTCCAGGGCGGAGGAGGAAAAGTAAGGTTGTGCATGCTTGTGTTCGCCATTTCAGGCTCATCTTCTTTGTTTTATTTATGTGGTAGTCATAATCTTTTCTCTCTTAGGGAATGAGGATCGTTAGATCGGAACAAGAATTTCAAGAACAGTTAGAATCAGCACGAAGAGAAGCCAAGAAGTCTTTTGGTGACAATGCTGTGCTGATCGAGAAGTTTGTAGACACACCGAGGTGGGTTGATCTTGTTTTTTTCTGACTCAGATTTTTAAAATTAAATTGGAAAAATAATGCATGCACACTTTATAAAATATAAAACTTTAATAGTACATAAGTATATTATTGTAAGTTTAGTTTCCCAGTTCTATCCTGTGATGTAACCACTGGTTGTAGGATGGCATGAATTCTTCCAGGCATTTTCTATGTGAATAGAAACGTAGATACATATACATACAGCAAACAAAATACATACCTAAGAACAGTGAATAGAGTCTTACACACTAATATATCACAGACCTCTTTCCATGTCAGTAAATATTGGTCAGCCTCATGCTTTTTGTTGGTGACCTAGTGGTTCCATGATCTTGATATACCATTAATTCATTCAGTATGCTTCTTGTTGGTGACATTTAGGGTTTTTTTCAATATTAGCAAATTATTGTAATAAATTCAGTTATATTTATAGAACTGCATGTTAGTTGACATGCTCAGGAAATGGAATTAATTTCCTAAATTGAATTTTAAGTGATTTACTAATAATAATAGCAGCTAACACTTGTATTACACTTATCATGTGCCAGATTTTAAGAATTTTACACATGCTAAATAATCTTGCTGTTCTTCTAATTTGAATGTAATTCTTACAATAACCTCATTAGGTAAGTACTATTTTCATTTTACAGGTGAAGACACTAAGCAACAGAGTGGTTGTGTTGTGTTAGTTGTCTGAGTCTCTCAGCTGTTAAGTAGTAAAGCTGAGATTTGAACCCAGGCATTTTGACTCCAGAGCTCGTATCTAAGCCACTGCACTAAGCTTCTCTGGATACCACTATAGGAAATGCAATGTGAATCCCTATTTTTTTTTCTGGAATGTTATTTTCATGTTTGTTGTTTAAAGTAAGATGCTGATTATAAAGTTTCTCATTTCATAGATTTTTATGACAGTTGTTAAAGATTTTATTTATATATATATATAAATTTTATATATTTAAATAAATTTAATTTTTATTTAAATTTTATATATAAATAGATATATATTATATATCTATTTATATAAAAATATATATTTAAAAAATATAATATATAAAAATATATAATATATTTATTATATATTATATATTTTAAATATTTATATTATACATTTATATATATAAATAAATTTTTTAACAATTGTCATAAAAATGTGAAATGAGAAATGTGAGTGTATATATACACACACACACGTGTATATATAAAAAATATATATACACATACATTGTGTGTATATATATAATATTTACAGGATATAGATATCCTGTAGTAATACTGTATAATACTTACAGGATACTTATAATACTTACACATACAGCATTACTTAATAATACTTACATATAATTGTAGGATATTATAATGCTGTATAATACTTACAGGAGAGATATATGTAAGAATATATATGTAATAGATATATGTAAGAATATATGTAATATATATGTAAGAATATACATATATGTAATATATATATGTAAGAAAAAAATATATATATATATTCTTACATTTATCTCTCCTGTAAGTATTATACAGGATTAGTGAAAAGAATAATTCATTTGGGAACCATGACTGGAAAAGAGATTTACCTTGAAGGTAACAGACTTGAAGCTTCAGGCACTTCTTTGGCATTCACCTCTTCTAAGACCCTGACCTAATTTTGTATTTGCGGTTTTGTATTCTTCTCCTTAAAGGAGGCTCCCAAATTGTTTTTTGTTACAGCCCGTATAAAACTGAGAACTGTCCTAAGCATGGCATAGTCAATGAGATTCAATTAGAATTTGATAGTTAAAAAAAAGGAAGTCAATCTTAAAATTGGTAAATTGACTAGGAGAACACAGCCTATGCCATCTGTCAGTGGGAAGTAAGTAAAAAAAAAAAAATGGAGGCAGTTCTAAGGTAAATTGAAGGCTTCCTTTCAAGAAAGAATAGGATAGCCATCCAAATTAGCATGCTCTTAAGTTAGAATTGTGGAGACATCAGTAGCTTATTTCAGTAACTATGTAAGTCAATGCCTGCAACATTTTTTGAAGATGTAAGTTCTGTACTTAGGAAATGTTAGCCATACACTGCCTCACATTGTAATGTATTCCCCCAACAGCTGAAAAACCCCTGGGAATCAAAGACCTGGTAGTATATACATTTTTATTTTTTTGTATATATTGCCTGGCATACTACTTTCATTGTAATAGGCATCAGTAATATTTTTTGAACTATAGAAGTAATATGAATACATTACAAACTTTTGGAAAATGTGGAAGATGGAAAACAAAATAACCCATAATTGTATTCTAATTATTGTATTAATATATTAATATTAATATTTCTGTATATAGTCATGTGTTGCTTAACGACAGAGATGCATTCTGAGAAATGCATTGTTAGGCAATTTCATTGCTGTGCACACATCATAGAGTGTACTCACACAAACTGAGTGAGAATGGCATGCTTTCCTAAAGGAATCAAACTTGACTTTAAAGCCAATAGAAGCCCCTGGGGAAAACTGGTCTCATTCCTTGTCTACACCCTCTCTGTATAGGTCTCCTAACCTGTAGTAAGTAAGGAATGTCACTTTCTGACAGATGCAGGTTATCTTGGGACCTCATGAGGACCTTTTATCAGCAAGGTCCTTACGATCTGTATCTTGTGCTGACCTCCTATCTCTTTCTGTGATTAAGAATGCTTTAACTTACTACTGGAAATGCAGCCCAGCAGGTCTTAGCCTTATTTTACCCAGCCCCTATTCAAGATGGAGTTGCTCTGGTTCAGATGCCTCTGACATTTCCCCCCTTGCTTTTATAAGAGAATGCTTAATCCTAAGGGTTGCAGAGGGACAAAGATCCATCATCTGTAACCTTCAGGCTGAATGGGGCAATGATATTCCTGCTAATTAGGCTCTCATGTTCAGGATAGAGAGGAGCTCAGTTAGAAAGCATCAGTATGTCGAGGGCCACTCATACCTCTTGAGTTCTGACAAAAGGTGAAATCTGGAAGATTAATAAAATAAGATTAATAAAAAAAATTTGGCAAGCTTATCCTGCATTTCTACACAAAGAGTACAACAATAATATATTTCACAACAGTAAAGCACAATAAGCAAGATTATCCCAAGTTAGCAAAATTAGAATGGTTTCCATGAACTGGGCAACTGTTGGAACCAAGCTGATATAGAGTTGCTAGATGATTCCAGTACGTGCCCAGGATTAGAATATTGATCCAGATTTTTACATTACCAGTCCCTCTTGTTTCTTCTGAACAGCAGCCACAGGAATAAGCAGGGTTAGTCTAAATTGCAGGGAAACTCAAAAACCACTGATGAGACTAGAATTTAATAACAAGTATACCATAGTTTTTGAAACATAATTTTTCTTGCTCCAGTTTTCCATTTTTACTAAAGACAAATCATGGTAAGACCGATTTGCTTTATTATACATGGCCTGATTATTTGTATAAAGTGCAGCAAGAATAATTATTTGCCATATAGGCTTTTAAAGTTGGTTTTGATGGAACTCTTCCATAAGGACTTGCAAAGAAGACCTTTTTTTTTTTTTTTTCTCAAGCCCAGCCCACCCATGGGTTTATACCCTGAAATACTATGAGTTAAGTAAATTTCTCTCCTCTTGAGGTCCCAAGATAACTTGGGGCTCCTGGATCTGTCAGAAAGTGACATTCCTTATTTACTACAGATTAGGAGACCTATACAGAGATGGTATAGACAAGGAATGAGACCAGTTTTCCCCAGGGGCTTCTATTGGCTTTAAAGTCAAGTTTGATTCCTTTAGGAAAGCATGCCATTCCAGTCAAAGCCTTGGTAAAATAACCTGTTTCTCCAGTTGTGTCCTGTTGCAAAAGAAAACAGATTCTTATTGCATTTGTGCAAATAACTATATTGCCATAAGTTAAGATCCTCACAAATAGTTTCCAAATTCTGGAGAAATCAGATAGAAACAAATATGCTCCAAATTTTGTTTATGAGTGTGTACATTTCTTAATTGTTAAAAGCTGTGAATAGCTTAAAAGAAAGGTTTCCTTCACTCTGAAAAACCAGAGGATCAGCAATGTTTTAAGCAAAAAGTCAAAAAAGATTACTTTAGACTTCAGTTCATGCAGTCAACTCCTGCTTGATATACATGAGCATTGCAGCTTTCCATGAGAGTTCTGAAAGTTTCTTTTTCCCTTTTCTAATGTCACAATCTCCAAACTTACATGAAACCTGCATTCAAGAACGCATGCTAGAGTTGTATAGTTTATTATAAATCACCTTTTGGGCCTGGGTGCAGTGGCTCATGACTGTAAAATCCCAGCACTTTGGGAGGCTGAGGCGGGTGGATCACCTGAGGTTAGGAGTTCGTGACCGGCCCAGCCAACATGGTGAAACCCTGTCTCTACTAAAAACACAAAAATTAGCAGGGCATAGTTGGCACGTGCCTGTCATCCCAGCTACTTGAGAAGCTGAGGCACAAGAATCGCTTGAACCTGGGAGGCAGAGGTTGCAGTGAGCCAAGATTGCACCACAGCACTCCAGCTTGGGCTACTGAGTGAGACTCAGTTTCAAAATAATAATAATAAATCTCCTTTTGAAGAAGATCAAAACAAGACAGTTGTCTATGGATGGCAAAAAGCTTTAGGGCAACCACAGTTAAAAACACAATTGACAAATTTGGTTACTTCTGTGCCATACAATGATTTTATGGAACAATTATAATGTACACCAAGTTATAGCAGAATTATAGGAGTTTCCCGTTATTTTGGAACACATACTATAACATATTTTTACAAATATAGCCCAAAGAAAGCTAAACACCATTTCACATTTGACACTGCTTCCTGTATGAGTTTTATATCAAATAAGCCCTATTTCACCTTTACATTAGTGTACTATTAATATTAAACCCAATTTTCAATAAAACCTTGTTGACATACGTACCCAATTTTAATGTTTGACCATAAGGTGAGGTTCTCATAAACTTTTTAATAACCCTTTACGAATT